CTGGTAAATCAATCTCTGCTGGTAAATCAATCCTAATTTGTAGGCCCTGGTGCATTAACCACTGCTCCTCAAACAAGCTCCTAAATGACTGCCTGACTTTGCATTTCCAGACTTAATGAACAAAGAAAATATTGAATTGGGAACTTTTGTCTGTGACACAATGGCAGTTCTACACCAACCCTGCTCATAATGCTGTCTGTCTGCTCATAAAATGTGGCTGACCTTTGTTTCTCTGACTTGTTAATTATTTTTGAATCCTTCAATGGATTTGATCAGTGGGGCTGCTGGTAAATCAATCTCTCTCTGTCTTTCTTTTCTAATTTGTAGGCCCTGGTGCATTAACCACTGCTCCTCAAACAAGCTCCTAAATGACTGCCTGACTTTGCATTTCCAGACTTAATGAACAAAGAAAATATTGAATTGGGAACTTTTGTCTGTGACACAATGGCAGTTCTACACCAACCCTGCTCATAATGCTGTCTGTCTGCTCATAAAATGTGGCTGATTTCTCCTTCAAAGTACAGAAATAGAAGTTTTAAGTAAACACAGAGCTCAATGCTCACTCCAAGAAACATATTCTTTTTGAATATTGCATTTTCTGTGTTCATCAATGGGCAATAAAATCTGTTTACTTTCCTGTATTAATATAGGACATTTCTAATGGCTTGTGCCTTTTTACACAATTAATCAGATTTAGTTGATTCATGGTTCAGTATCAGCCATAAACCATGCTGTGGTATGAGTGGGAGGGGCATTCACATTCTAGAAAGCATCTGATTGGACAGACATCTGTGTAGTGCAGGATGAGTCATCAGTATTTTGAGTCATCAGTATTTTTAAAGCATATATTTGCAAATAAAATGAATTTTGTCAACATGATTATAGTAGCAAAAATGACTAAAAGACATGGACTTCAAAGCAACTAAATTTTATTTTAGGGCATTCTAAGCACCTTGAAGAGCTCTGTATTTGTTAATGTTCTTGAGCTAAATGCAACCAGAAAGTTTTTGTTTTATTATTATTTTTTTAAATAGACATTTTAATTCAGAAGAGACAAGAAAGACTAAATACATTTCTTTACAAACACATCAACCTGACATAGAGTACAGTCCAAAGGTCTGGGGTCAGTAAGATTATTATTATTTTTGTTTCTGATTTAAGTCTCTTATGCTCTTATAAATGTTTTCTATTTTAATATATTCCAAAATGTCATTTATTCCTGTGATGCAAAGCTGAATTTTCAGGAGCCATATAATAAATGGCCTGAGACTTCTAGACATAGATGATAAGCATCTAATGGTCTGAGGAGGACGGGGAGGGCAGATGGATTCGCTGCGTCTTTGCTGTATTTGAATGTGAGGTATTTGTGGTGATGGTGGAGGCAGCATGATGGATGTTCTGCAGGCGACAGAGGTTTTGGTCTGGAGGCAGACGGGCACAGCGCCAGGATAATTGCATTGTTTATCCATTACTATTTCTGTTCATGTCAGGCAGAGGGGAAACAATGGTGGATGTCACTGGGTGCGTTCATGTGTGTTTGTGTGTCTGTGAAATATCGGCTTCCTGTTGTCTGGCAAACATTAATTATGAGGTCATGAGACCTGTGGTAAATGAAGTCGAACATTGTAAAACACCTACCGCACATTTACCAGTTCATGTAGGGAGGATTTCTTTAAACTTTTTCATGTTGTTCAGCATACAAAACTGTTTATAGACTGACATGGCATGGTACTTGCTTTTTGGATAAATAATATGACAACGTCATGTTTTTGGAGATTCACCATGGTGCTACCATTGGTTTATGGTTATACTGTGTAGGCTACTATATGTTTTGGAGATTCAAAATGTAGTACCATGCCTTTTTGGATATATACTATGGCAATAATGCGTTTTAGAAACACCATGGAGATTACAGTACTATCACAGCTTTTTAAATATATACTATGGCAATGCCATGTTTCTGAAGGTTTACCATGATAGTACCATGGTGTTTTGGATAAATGCCATTTTTAGGGCTTTACCATGGCTTTTTGGATATTTACTATGGCAATACCATGTGGTTTGGAGATTTACAATGGTATTGCCATGGCTTTCTGGATATGTACTATGGAAATACCATGTTTTTGGAGACTTACAATGGTACTACCATGGCTTTTTAAAAATATATACCATGGCAACACCATGTATTTGGAGATTTACAATAGTACCATGGATTTCTGGATATATACTATGGCAGTACCATGTTTTATGAGATTTACCATGGTAGTATCAATGCTTTTTGGATATATACTGGATTATGACACAATGTTTTGGAAATATACTATGGCATTACCATGTTCTATAGATTTATTACTGTACTACTATGTTTTTGGATATAATACGTGATATGGCAATACCATATTTTATCAGCTCTACCATGGTAGTACCAAGGTTTTTGGATATATAACAATACCATGTTTTGGAGATCTGGGGTGTATTCCAGAAAGGAGGTTCAACAAACTCTGAGTTAAAACTTGAACTCTGAGTTGACTTACCCTGAGATGGGAAACTTTTGAGTTTCCTTTTTCTAGGGTTAACGGACTCTGAGTTTCCAACAAAACCTGCTTTCTGGAATACACCCCTTGTATTCCTTACTCCAAGTTTAAATAAAGTACTATGTACCATACCATAGTTTTGGGCATGATACTATGGGAATGCTGTGGTTTTTGGACATATATATATATATATATATAGAGAGAGAGAGAGAGAGAGAGAGAGAGAGAGAGATATTTACCATGGCAGTACCATCCCTTACAAAAGATGGTGATAGTAATACCATAATGATCATTCTTGAAAATCATTCTTGAAAATCTTGAAAGTACCTTGGAGTTCCATGAGTTCCAGGTCCAAAGGACAGGTATGAGGTCATCTGAAGCGTGCCTGCAACAACTTGTCTTCCTCTCATCATTTCCAACATCGGTTCTCTGTGATAGTCACGTGACCTTTTCCAAACAAATGCACTAAATGGAAAAATATGCATGCTCCACCTGCCAAAATATTGCCATGAACATTCACCTGCAAGACTATTATTACATTAGCAAGGAAAAAACGTGACTAAAGACTTTGAATTAAACTTTAAAAAAAATTAATAAAAAATCTAGCATCCCGCTAGGACATCTAATACAACCAGTTTTTGTGTTTGTTTTGTCTGGAGGTACTTAATAAAATTAAGCAGTCAGAAACTCAAACACGGATGATCGAAACCAATAAATCAACCACAAACATTAGTCTACACTCAGTCACCAGATCACAGAAACCCTGCAAGGTCAGTCATCTAAGGTCAGAGATAATCATCAAAGGACAGACGTAGACTAAATAAGAGTTTAAATTTAAAAAAAAAATTTTGAGCTGTTTTCCTTCAGGAAACAGAGATTAGCCATCCCCAATGGGGGCAGTTAAAGTTCCCCGGACCTAAACAGACTTAAATCTGTATGGAAACTCCAAGCCTAGAATATTTTATTAATTTAAGGCCTGTCAGATATGAGTTGACACAAGGCAGTTACAACAGTATTTAGCTTAAGAGCTAAATCACCAAAGTTTATAGCATGCATGCAAGACATGGCAGTCTGGTTGATACGACAATAATTTAAGAGCATTTTGTTGTCTTTACTATATATGTTGATGTTAAAAATACAGTTTCCCTTTCTTAGAGCTCGTCTGCAAATACTCATCCAGGCCTGACCTGACAGCACAATATGAAACGCATTCACACACTCACATGCTTGGAGAATGGCAACTGACAGGCTTATTTGCACCTTTGTAACTATTGTGACTCTGACATGAGAAGCTGTGACAGGGAGAGTGCAAGGCTTCATATGAAAGGCTACAGATATGTCGGCAGAAGTCAGCAGTGTTGGGGGTAACGCATTACAAGTAACGCGAGTTACGTAATCAGATTACTTTTTTCAAGTACAGTGATGGCTGGATCTCTGTGGATCGGTGGCCACCCACAGGTTTGATTCACCCTTGGCTAGGTTAAGCACACGCACCTGGGGATCATGCCATTTTGTCGATCCAAGTGGGTTTAATTGCATCCTTCTGATTCTCTATTTTCAATCCCTCGAGGTAGCTGTACGCAGAAAAACCCTGCACACTGTCAAAATCTAAATGCTTTTCAAAAAGCAGAAGGTGAAGGATTACAATGCTGTGGTGAAAGAAATAAACCCCTTGAGGACCGTTTCTCTGTATGTGTCTCTGGAGAGGGTGTCAGCAGTGGGATCCAGAACACCACTTCCAGCAAAAACACAAGATAACAGTTTGGACAGGTCTGCATGTCTTCCCTGGGATACAGAAGCCTGGCTTTCTTCATGAAGGCAGCAGATATGTTCAGAAATACATCATTTAGGGTTTGCATGACTGCTCATGTTTACTAGTTGATAAGTTGCAATGAAGGAGAGCAGGAGAGAAACGAGATTTTGCATGCTGCTTTCACTGTCATGAACTTCAGTTATTTTTAAAGTTAATTGTCACTATATTTGCAAATACTCGTTTTTATGAAATGTCTTGTAAAATATATATCAAAAAATATTTGCTGTTATATATTTGTGTTTTGAAATTACTTTTGAAATTTTTTCCAGAAATATTTTTCTTATAAATCGTCTTGTGAAATATATTCTAAATGCATTTGCAAATATATTTTTCTTTGTTTGAAATGTCTTAAGAAATGTATTTTATCTGAAAATATATGACATTTCTCACTAAGCTTATTTTAAATATATTTGCAAATACATTTTTCTTTTCATATTTCATGTGATATTTATTCCAAATAAATTTGCAAATATATTTGGAATTTTGCTGAAGTGAAAATTCAATAAAAGTGTTTTGTATTCACAAATATAGTTTCTGGACAGAGAAATTCTCATCCTGGTCTTATGAGGTGCATGGCAGAACTAGTCGAGTAGTTTGTGCAACCCCTAATATGACTGCATTTGTATTTGTTTGTATGTTTATCTGTCAAAAGTTCATATGGACGACTTGGATTTCCCAGTTACTCCTCTTGGTCCTCTGTTAAAAGTCAATTTTCCTCTTCCTGGGCGCATCAGAAAGTATCTTCCTCTGAGGGAGAGAAAAAGAGAGAGAATATTTACTCAGATAAAAATTTTTAATGGCATCATGATACTATATCTTATGTGTTTTACTTTCACAAAAGGCTATCCATTTTAAACCTTTGATAAGACATACAGTACAGTTTGTGCAACGATGCTTGCCACTTTAGAAGCACTTTAAATGAATGTAACAATGTCTAATCATCTTAAAAAGGGCTTTAATTAAATCAATTTGGTCACTGTTAGAAAAAGGCCACACTTAATCAAATGTTTTTTTTTGTTTGTTCTTTGTTTTTGAGAATGCCTCTAATGTAACCAGAAGCATAATCAAAAATCATGAAGGATCAACTTCCAACTGAATTTCTTTGCTGGTCAGAACTGGTTTATCCTGGCTTGGTGCTGGTCTAGCTCTTAGATTTGGAAGACTGGCATAATAGCAAATGACATGAACAGTTACAGTACAGACAACACGCAAACAACGTGTTTGTAAAATTTCTGTCCACACAAAAATAATAAAAGTGGAGTCCAGTTGATAAATATGTCAAATCCACATTTCTACTCATGGATATCAAGTTGATGTACTACTAATTGCACAAACAAAACTCTAGTATCTTTTAAAGATTTGATGCCACGATTATTTCACAATCATATGAAATCATTTCATATTCATAATCAAGTGACTATTTCGTCCTCAAAAGCACTCATAATATCAAACCGGCACACAGTGAATGTCACAACTTTGTTTCTGGAAAAGCAAATGTTCTCTTAACACTGGAAGTTACATAAAGCCAGTCAATCAGAATAAAACTGATTTCAACGAGCCCTCACAATCTTTTGTGTCCAATATGCAACAGACGGTCAAGTAAGCTATGGTCACACTGACGCTGAAGTGTGTTTTAGGCCGTTATTAATTTTCTGATTGTTTAATAGTACTATTTTTCCCCCATTATTCTCTTTTCCTTATTGTTATTTCAGCAAGAAAATCTGAATGAAGTCCAACGACAGGAGTGTTTCTATTTTCCATCAGTATAATTTGCACAGTGCCATGTGTTTAGTATCAAGCCCATAAGTCATTTTAAAAACCTCTCGTCTGACACCCCTAAATACATGACACAGATTACAGAGATTTACTGTGTCTGCTTGAAGACAAATGAGTCCGTCCAGAAAGAGACTGTTTACAAGCCTCCAGTGTTTATACATATTTTTTACATTATCTGACTATAATAGTATTGTTTGCCTTATGCTACATGGCCAAAAAAGGTTAAACAAAAACATGCACATATTACACAGATGGTAAACACACACTCACCTCGCCCTAAGGAGTCTGCATGATTTATGTTCTCTATTCATTAACTTATGTCTTTTGTTTCCCTACACCTCATGTTTGAGTTCATTCAGAACACTCATTCATATTTCTAAACAGAGACTCCAGAGGTACTTTCTAAGCATAATGAGAAAATTAGAAAATGAGAAAACTTTAAAGTGACTACAGTATAGCACACTTTTTGCAGTGAAAGTCCACCTAGAGTAAACCGAGGTCTTGCTTAAAGGGGTCCTATTAAGCTTTTTCACTTTTTTAATTTTAGTCAGTGTGTAGTGTGTATGTTTGGGCATAAAAAAGATCTAGAAAGTTACAAATCTCAAAGTCCACTCCAAAGGGAGATATTTCGTTTTTTAAAAATCCCTTTTCAAGAACTACAACGAACGTCTCGTTTGGACTACAGCGTTTGTTTTCCGGGCTTTGTGATATCACAAAGCGGCTCATTGGAATATCATTACAAATAATTCCCGCCTACAGAAATTCGAGTGGTTGGGGGGTGGGGAGGGGCGAGCTCGTTGTTAGAACGCTTGGTTGAGTGAGTGCATCAGACGAGACGACGAAGAAGAAGTGTTGCTGCAGAGTTAGTGCATCAGAGAAAACGAAGAAGAAGAGTTTTTCGGCATGTCTAGAACAATTCTTACAAGTACAACACGACGTAGCTGGGCGCTGCGGACAGACGCCGAAATAATGTATTTGAATTTTAAAGATGTGGCATGGCGCAACGCGGCGCAACGCGGCGCAACGCGGCGCAACGCGACGCAACGCTGCGCTTCTCGTCCGGTGTGCGACCGCATGAAACCCTGTTTTTTTCACCCCCGTGCCCAAACGTCTTTGTTTGGGCTTCCGAAAGCAGATTATGTCAGGAAACAGTGGTTGCAATTTATTTTTTAACTCTGTCCCTGAGCATTATAACCCCAATTTGCTATTGTGTGCTGCGCATTTTACTGAGGACAGCTTCCACAACATGAGGGAGTACAGTGCCTGCCGGACCAAAAAGCTTTTGTTGAAAGACGGAGCAAGAGGCGCTTCATCAAAGCGGGAACTAATCGAGACATTTGTCCCAGGATGGGGAGAAAGGTATTGTAATAATGTAAATTATGTGAAAAATAATGTGTTTTTTCGAACCACCAAGCATGAGAGCATGTTCTAGTACACCCCCAAAACAAAATCAAGACTTTGTAAAAGAGCATAATAGGACCCCTTTAAGCAATAGCTCATCTAAAATGTAAAATCTGTTGTTTACTCACCCTCATGTTGCTTGTGCATATTTAAAATTGCTGCTAAACATGCTGTGTTAGTGTAGGTTTGATTCCATTGATGCCAAACACCACTGCTTCTCATAGAACCAAATGCAATTCATCAGCATTATATTTATTCATATAGGAGGTGCTTTTATTCAAAGTTACACATTTTTATTTACACTACTGTTGAAAAGTAAAAAAAAAAAGAAATTAATACTTTTTTTTTTCTTTGCAAGGATGCATTAAATGTATCAAGAGACATTTAAAATGTTTACAAAAGAAGAATTCTAAAAAAAAATAATAATAATTTCCAGAAAAATATTAAGCAGCATTTTTGTTCAAATAAAAGCCATAGTGAGCATAAGACACTTCTTTCAAAATCATTGAAAAAAAAATCTTACAGACCTCAAAACTTTTTAGCAGTATTGTATATACTTTTTTATACTTAAGTGAGAATGAGATTTGAGTGCTATGTCAAAAGGCTGTACGATAATAAAAATTACTCATTTTTCCTCACACAAAGAGCAATAAAAACTAATTTTATGGTGCTTTTTCGTCAGGTTTGGAGCTTGATAGTTTTAGAATAACAAAAACAGTAAATAATTACAGAATTTTCCATTTTTGTATGAGCATTCAACGTAACTCTTCAGTTATCAGTTTAGTAATATCTGGAATAAATGTAATCAAATTAATGCATAGAGGACATACCAATTTTATTTACATTACTGAAGACATGTACCACCCTTAATAACATTGTAATCAGATTATTTTGGCCACTGTTGTGCCACATATACACTAATTATTTCAAATATGATCTAAATAGTTCTATATTTAGATAATAGTTCTGTATTTAAATATATATATATAAAGTCAAGAAAATTAATGTGAAGCCTCACTCTTAATAGCTTATGTGTCAGATTAACCATTAAACTGAATAATCACTGGGCTGCCGAAGACCAGCCACTATTTACACTAACCTATTTTTCCAGCCTGGTACCCTTGATGGAAGCAAACTACACTGGGAACAGATGATAAAAGCTCCAAATCACATCACAAAAACAGTTTGTTTTTTAAAGGGTGTGTTTCTGTTGGCCTAGTATATGCTGTTCGTTGTGTGTAATGATGAGAGAATGAGAAACAGGTGTGAATGCACATGGGGCGAAGAGTGGGGTGAGGTCACATGACTCCAGAGAGTTTAGAAAGGCTGGATCTCATACAAAGTCAGTCAAGGAGTATGTATAGTACCATATGGAAGATACAAAGAATAGCTGCATCCTAAATCTCATCCCATCTGTCCAAAAACATGAGATTAGGATTAGTGTGTGCCAAATTCAGAGAGAAATATGAAAATTGTGTGCCAAATAAAATTTTATTTTTAAATTTTATATTATATTTACATGTATATAATAATAATAATAATTATAATAATAACCTGAAAAATAATAATATAATATAATATAATATAATATAATGCAAACTTTTTAAATCACAGAATGATGTAGTTACTAACCAGCAGAGACTAACTGGCCTATGCCAACCATCTAAATGCTACTGATACTTCAGGTACACAGAAGTAGCATGTGAATTACAGAAGTAGAAAAGAGACACATTATTATGCAACACTGCAGCCTGTCAAGCACATGTAACCATAACTATAAAGCTACACCTGAACGAGAGCTCCCGATGGCACAGTTACGTACTGTGAGCGATACAGGCACATCTGAAAAACATTTATAGCGAGTGCTTCTGAGGATCACAAGGAAATGTTTACACACGCACAGAGCACCAGTCTCTTCTTTTTATAAGCGCTGGGAGCTCCATACAGTTCTACAGACCACACACACTTAAGATCTGCACTTGATGGCTAGAAAACCTGCTTGCCAGAGAGGAATATTTGAGTGTCACGATTAAAGGAACAATATGTAAGATTTTTTTTATTAAAATATCCAAAAACCACTAGAACAGTGTTATATATTTTGCTGACTTAAATTAAGGAAAATTATTTCTAAATTTGGAAAGTAATTTGAAAAAAATGCTTTTACTTGTTTTATTTTGTTCAATGTTTGAGGAGCTGCAGCGTAAGTACAGCAGACATCTGTTAGAGAACGACCTCCGGAGGGCGCAGCCTTCTAAATGAGACACAGCGTGTGAAACACCAAAGACGCTTTAATATGTTGTGTGTTTTAATAGACCGGTGACGACCGCACAGAGTCGCATTATAACAGAACTTTCAAATAAAACAGTGCTGTTTTTTTTCCCACATACGCACGACCGGAAGTAGCAGAACCGGTCGACTGTGGCATAATAAAAACTCCGCTGCTTTCGAGCCGTGTGTCACGCTCGTTCAGCGGCCTCGTTTCGCTTCGACGGCTTTCCGCCTCACCCTGCTTCTACTATGTTAATAAATCATTAGCTCATCCATGAACATGATTTCTGCCCGAGTCCCGTCGGATTGCATCGGCTGTGGGGATGAAGACGACAACTCCCATGATTCCACACTCAGTCACGGCGTCATCAAACTACGCCTTTGTCTGTTTGTTTATTTTGAATACGCGCCCTCTAGCGCCGAAAATTACATATTGTGCCTTTAATGATATAGAACAGTTTTTCATTTATTTGCAGCGGAAATTACTGTTTATATAATAAATAACCACTTTGTAAGGCCTATTTTGGGATAATCTGGTGAATTAAATACTAGGGCTGGGACGATAAATCGATGCAGAATCGATTCTTAGATTTCATAATGCATCGCGATTCCTCTGGAATCGATTCTGAGCTTAGATTTTAACAGCAGATGGCGCTCTAATCTAGTTTTTATCCACACACTCAAATGCTCATGAAGAAAAGTGCTTGTGAGTTCGGCTGAGTCATGTAACGTTAATTTCACCTCAGCTCAGAATGCGTTTATGACGCGAGATTAATGTAAACACAGCCCACTGTGAACACCTTTGTAATTCGCTTCAACCTTTTCGAATTTTATGAATGATTATTTTAGGTTCAAGTGTGTGTACGGATTTGGAAACAAAAGCATGTAGTTTCTAAAGCATGCAGTGCCATCTGTTGTTCAAAACTAAGCTCAGAATCGATTCAAGAAAGAATCGCGATGCATTCGGAAAATCTCAGAATCGATGCTGAATCATTTCTCGATTCTCGATGCATCGATTTATTTTCCCAGCCCTATTAAATACTTTACAGCTGACAGGTACTTCATCTCATTTAATTACTTTCTATTTTTGAATTGTAACTGGACAGATGCAAACCAAAAAATACAATTATTAATAACAAATGAGTGATAGGTCTGGCATTAGTGCAAAAACAGCTTCAAATTATGTAATACTTGCAACTACTATGCAAACTACCATATGAAATGGATAGATCTGATTCTAAATGTATTAATGCGACATCTCGGCATCATGTTATACACCTTAAGTTTTTCTTCTCTTGACTTGAGTCTTACTGAGTTTTTGGTTCTCGTCCATGTTTTTTTGATGCTGTCATGTGTAAATACAAAGTCCTGCTCATTTTTGCTGTGTGAAAATTCCTACCAAGGTTCAAAGATAAAGCAAAATCTCTACCGTATATACGTCAAAATGTCCAGTGCTATACGAGAGGATAGAGCCAGTCTGGAAAGCGTTTCAAATGCATTTTGCCTTTACCAAAGAGAACTGGACCATTCTGTAACATATCAGAGCATGTGGGTGCTATCATGCTTGGTGAACTGGCATGTGAACACAGAGACGGCAGAGTCTGGAGTTTCTGAGAACAAAGTCAAAGTTGAACGGGTGTCTGGGAGTTAGAACAGCTTATACATCTCATGAACTCACTGCTTGTTTTTTTTTTTTGGTTAGTTTTTTTGGAAAGTGTTCCAGAAGGGTTTGGCACTATAATTCACTCTGCTGCTCATTCTCCACGGACACCACACACCCTGAAGGAGGACACACATCGTATTGCAGGTTAAAGGGTCAGAAAGAAAGAAGAATAAGAGAACAACCTTCTCATGTTCCCATTTCTTCATCCTCTCCTGTGTCAGGAACTCCTTCATGACTTCCTCCTGCACAAAGAAAAACAGACATGTGAAACAAACGCAGCAAACAACCCTCAAGGTGAAACAACCTTATGTCTGCAACTTGCATTTTATGGACCATACTGGAAGAACATTTTATTTCCCACAATGCTCTAACTCTGCAGTTCATTTTTAATGAGCCCATTGTGTTGTTGTGTTGGATTAATGAAATTACTCTGCTGTGTGAAAAAATGAACAAAATGAAAATTCTGACTAGCCAGAGAACAGTACATCTTAATAAAGTTATTTTTTACTAAAAATGTAAAAAAAAAAAAAAACATACATATATATATATATAATAAATAATATTATAAATAATAAATATGATAAATTATTAAAAAATAATAAAGTGACTAAAATTATTTATTAAAATTATTAATAATAAAATTATTATTAATTATATTTTATAATTGTTGTTTCCAATATTGACAATAATAATAATAATTTCCCTATCACTGCACATAAAACTGAAGTTTTCCTTTTTTCTTACCTTACTGAGTTTTCCACACATTGGTTGCGCAGTCTGCAGAATAAGAGAAGTGGTCACTGAGTCCAGTCCTGTGCACGGGTCCTGTGAAACCTCATTCAGATTCACAGCAGAATACAAAACACATGCTTTAAATGAGCTGGACACTCAGTGGGTGTTACTGTGCGAGTATGTGAGTTAATATAAGGTCAGTTTAAAGCTATTACCTCTTGAGGTGTAATGTCATGGTGATCCTGCTCTGTGAAGGTAGTAAGCAGGGAGGTGTAGCGACTGACCTTTAAGACATTCTGGTTGAATGATTCCACCATGAACTTCAGTGGCAGTGATAACAGTACAAGGGGACGGCTGGTTCAATAGGATGCTGACCTCACAAAACGACTGCTTTGGACCCAGCTTACCAACAATCACAAATCTGATCCTGCAGCCCTGCAATTCACAAACACTAAACAGTATCTACACTACCATTTCTGACAGACAAAAAAAGCAATAAAATAAGAATATGCATGCTCTGACATTTCTTTTCAAGGTATGACTGCTTGTCCTGATACCTTTTTGTCAACGGGTTTTGTCAACGATACCACGTCCTGAAGGATGTTACATTCTCCACGTCCAATGAAGGCCACAAACGGACAGATCTTTCCCTCCTTCACCAGCGCTACAAATACAGATTTAAGAGCTGGCTTAGTCAGGAAACAACTGAAATTCCCATTAAAACTGTAACCAAACACTTGAATGAGCTACATACGTATAGTACACTGCAGTTCAAAAGTTTGGGGGGGGTCGTTAAGATTTTTTAAATGTTTTTTGAGTAAGTGACGTGACGTTACATGGCCGTGTATGGTGATTTGTGCTCTGCATTTCACCCATTCATGTGCACACACACACACAGCAGTGAGTAGGGAGCACACACACACCGTGAACACACACACGGAGCAGTGGCCAGCCATTTGCTTGTCGCTCATTGCATCAGGTGCTATGCAAAAGCAAGGCATTCCCCACCATAATAAATGCATCTCAATGTAGACCAGAAGTGACCCAGGCAGCAGAGAATGAGAAAAAAATATGCAGACTGTTTACGACAAAAGTAGTCTATGTTTTGGCAGCAGCCCCAAAAGCGGTGGATTATTTCTTATTGTGACAAACCTGGGGTTGGTTTGTGGAGGTGAGCATTATATTGATCTACAGTGAGCCTTTAACATCAGGGGGAAACACTGTATATCAGCCTTGACAGGTAAATCCCATCTCTGTGAAGCAGCGAGTGGGACAAGCAGAGTCCATTTGTCTAGCCGGTGACAGAACCCAGGCCTCCACTTCAGAAGCGTTAGAGGCAGGAGGAAGTTGTGTTTCAAAAACGAGTTTTAATCTCATCTCTCACACTCTCCCTCTTTTCAGAGCAAAACTATTATTCGCCTGCTCTGCATGTTTTCGCAAAGCCATTAAAAAGCAAATGTCTGGATCACTTGGGAAATCACAGCAGGCTCTGATAGACGCCGTTTGTCTTCTTAGATGAACACGGCGCAGTCACGCCTCCTCCCGCAGGGCACTAACATCCAGAGTTCTGCATTTCTGTACTGCACAACACAATTAGCGCAGTGGAACAGCATAAAACTGTTACGCAACAATACTCTTCCAACAGTAGCTTTTCAATCAGCTTTAGCAATATTACTTTAAAAATCAAATAGTGATTAGAACCAAAATATAGAATTAATAAAAAATAATGCAAAGTACAGTTTAATGGCCTGTGAGAACTATTAATAGTGGTATATTTTCTTTGCTCACTATCAATGGCCCATATACCCTTTAAAGACATTGAGTTCTATGCATTTTCTATGCAAGTCCCCCTTCAGTCATTAATTTTATCCCATTAAACTCATCTCTGACAGGGTTACTGCAGGTTTTATGAAGGTAAATGTAATACTTTTCAAGACTTTTTAAGACTAAGTAAAGAAACTTGAAGGAATAAATAGAATGGAACACAATATGTCAAGATGTTCTCTAAATGTCTTGTATAAACAAAAGCTTCAAAGTTTGAAAATACAACTTCTAAAAGATCTCCATTAATTTTTAATTAAAAAATATATATATAAATAAATAAATAATAATTATGGCTAATAATTATGCTCTGTTCCCAAACACTAATATTGAAATAGCAAGTGTTTATGGTTAAAGGGGTCATATGATGCTATTTTAAAGATCATTATTTTGTGTATTTAGTGTAACAGAATATGTTGACATGCTTTAATGTTCAAAAAACACATTATTTTTCAAATACTGTACATTATTGTAGGTATATCTACCAGTGAGCTCAAAAAAATCGACTTAATTCAAAGGGAAAACTAGTTTTCATTCCCTATTGACAGATATTTGTTCTTGTTTTAAACAAACTCACTTAATTTTGTTCAATTTCTCAGAAAACAAGACTTCATATTGCATCTCAAGTAAATGTACCCTGATTTAAGGATATTTATGTTTGTATTGGAGAACAAAGCAAAAATACTGAGGAAGATATTCATTTTTGCAGTTCAGGCATCATTTAATGCCATGACTTTAGGACTTTCTGCTCTGATAAAACTTTTTCCTGCCTTAGTATGTGGAAGGGGAAATTACACTTGACCTGCAGAACACTTGGATAATCAAAATGATGTATTTAAATGTTTTTTTTTCTTCTTCTTCTTTTTTCTTGCCTTATAATGGCTTGAATATACCTCTACACTCTTATCTCATTTAGTATATGCGGATCTATGAATATGCAAATTAGTCCCACCTACCATCAATCACACCAGCTTGGACCTGCTCCACTTTCACACGCTTAACTGAAGTAGTAAACACTACACAATGGAAAGTGGTAATGCTGGATTAATTCAGCCATATATGTTAGAACCAGAAACTGAATCTGAAGAGGGGGAAGAACAAATAATACAGGGTCGTCCACAAGTCCATGTATCAGATAATGCACAAGAACACAAGACGTGTGAAGTGGAATTGGGAAAAAAGGTCTCAAGACATGTTTTTTAGAACTTTTAACTTGAGAGTCATGTGTGAGACACTGCAAAAGACAGAGAAGCGAGTGCAACAGTCAAAGTTGTCCACCTAGCACGTTTATACAGAAAAAAAATGGAAAAGTAGTGGAATGAAAAATTTTATTGTGTGTGAACCAGCCCTAACAGTACTTGGAATCAGTGTACACAGTGTCAGTTGCACAAAAAAGCCCAGTGTCATAAGAGTAAATAAATATTTAATATTAGTAAATAGTAAATATTTATTTATTTAATATACTGTATATATATGCACACACACACTACCATTCCAAATGTATATATTATAAAAACTACCATTAAAAAAGCCATAAAGTCATTAAGATATTGATGACTGAAGTAATGGCTGCTGAAAATTCAGTTTTGCATCATGCAAATACATCACATTTTAAAATGTATTATAATGAAAATCTTTTTTTTTTTATTGTAATACTATTTCATAATATTACTGTTTTGTTGTAATTTTTACATCCTATGATTAAAGCAGACGCCAAGGGTAGAAGATCTCTATTAAAGAAAGAAATGAATTTGTGTTCTGGGTGGTTATATGTTACCATAAACATGGACACCATATTCTGTCTGACTGGGTGGGCCAAACAGTAACAGATCAGTAAACTTCTGCTCAGATAATCAAAAACAGTCATGCTGGACTGGATATTTGGACTGCAAGTCCAGCCATGGAACATGATAGAAAGTAAGATGGCTAGAAAATCCTGGACCAGACTGGATTCATAGCCCAGGGGTGGCAGTCCAGGCCAGAATAGGAACAGGCCAGCTGTGGACACAGGGTGACGCAGTCCAGCACTGGAGACAACAGGCTTTTGTTTGGCATAATCCTGCTGTAGAACAGAAGATATTCGAGTTTACAGCTCATGTCTCTGGAGGGGCAAAGTGAGACATTCTGAGTAGCCCACAGACTGGTGAACTAATGGAGCAGCGATTTCACTTCTGATCTTCAATGACATGTTTGTTTAAGAGGAGAAATAGAAAAAGACTGCAGACGGAGGGAGAAAGACACCTGAGACCTTTCTTACAGTGGGTCAAAATAAGATGACACAAATCAAGCGTAGCGTTAGTTCTGGCAGGTCACGTGAGTCAAGCTTGCATCAGCTGACTCTCAGCTGATCCACGTCTACCTATAGGAATACGACGGCTATCACGGCATTCCTATATAAGGTCTATTCAGTAATATTCAGCAGCTTTATAGCTTGCTCAGGAGGAAATTAGACGGCGAATTCGGCGAATTCCGTCTCTATAGGAAGCGTAAAATCAAGAATATTGCAGGAGGGGTTCGTTCCCCACTAAATTCAAGTTCGTGAACTTGAACGCGAATTCGCTGCATTGATTGATATGAGCGTGACCGGAGTGAGCACTGCTTCTCGCAGCGATTTATAATTGACATGGACTCTTTGCCCACAAATCATCACTGAAGTTGTGCTAATGTGTCTGAATCAACAAGAGTTTACACAAGATCTGCCTTCCTCGCTGGAAGGAGTAAGATATCAAGAAGTGGATCAAGCATCCACGTCACAGCTGGCTATATTTCACCCTTTATTCATCTCTGAATGTCTTCACGAAGCTAAGTTTCTTTTTATTCTCATTGCTTAAAGTTATCAGGGTATTGGCAAATATTGCTCGTTGTTTAAGGCTACTTGTTCAGTAACATGCTTGATGCTTTAGGCTTATTGGTTTTATTTCGACATGCTGGTACCCAGTTAAACTTGCCACAGCAGAGGCTTGTTTTTAAAGCTGTTGTTTAAGGCTCTCTGATTTTTGAAACATGCTTGCTGCTTAAGACACATCTAGTATTGGAAATGTTGTTTCTTTAAGCTTATTCAACTATTATTGCAACACGCTGCATTTAAGTCAGCAACATGCTTGTTTCTTAAAGCTATCTAGTGCACAGTATGTAAATTTTGCTGCTAAAGGTTGTTATTCAAATGTTAACAACGTAATCTGGGTAAGGGCAACATGCTTGTTGCTTAATTTTCGGGTATTGACCATATTCTTGTTGCTTAATCTTTTCAGGTACTGCATTAAAGGGGCACGCTGCTCTTCTCAGCTGCTT